CATACATAGGTATATCTGCAGTGTCAACACTGTCAACAATGTCAGGGTTAGGGTCTATTATTTCTGAGCAGACTTGGAACCTGAAATGTCCAATGGACGGAGCAAGTATGACGTGTTCCAGGCAAATATATTATTATCTCAATTAGATTATTCAGATATTGTAAATCACACAGAGATATTCAGTTTAAGTTGGATATTGATTGTCATCATGAGAGTACAAAGTATTGTAAGGTGCTACAATGTAAGGGACCTGCTGCGCTAGCAGAATATCACTGAATGAGAGAATACTGAGATAGCATCAAAGACAATGTAACGAGACCACAACACCAAAAGTTCCAGTGCAAGAATGAGTGCAACAAGGCAAAGTCCAATTTGGAAATGGAGTGATTCAAGAAGCAGTCGCCAAGCCTCTCCAAAGTGGTTGCCGAGTGCTACCCTCTTCTGTGTCAAGGTTGAGCGTGGCAAACTTCGCATGTGTATGTCAGGCCCGTTTGAGAAGTTATGGCGGTCAGAAAGATAAAAGACTAAGATGAAAATACGTATCTATGTGCTGGGACAATGTTGAGCGCCATTGGTATGAGGACTGTGGTTGGTACCAGGGGATATGCAGCAGAGGAATAGCACAATACAATTCCACCATTTAGAGTTGTCGATGCATTTTGCTTTGTCGCTAGCTCATTCTGGCTGCCAAGCAACATATAGTGCCTGTAGTTAAAACTTGGAATACCAGCCATTGAGAACATAGCCTCCAAACAGATGTACCTTCTTGTCATCTAGTGCAGGAACTTCAACAACAGGAGGACTGGAGCAAGAGAAAGTACTAGGCTCTGTGCATTGCTGGAGTTCAACACTGTTTGTCAGCATTTGGTTGAACACAGTGGAAGCTTTGGGTAAGGTGAGCGAAGAGCGTATGTGGATGTGATCCCAAGGACAGTGCAAAAGCATTGTGGAGGTGATGTAGAGAAGGATCAGGATGGGTAGTGGAAGACTGAAAAAATGAAAATCAGAATAACTCGTGCAAGTAAATGGTGGTAACACACTGGATCAGGGACTTGCACATTATCGAAAAAGCCTGGTGGCACTTGATGTGGGGCTGGACAGATGGGTGGTCATTGGGTAGCATTGGCCTGAAATATTAATGTTACAATCAACATCAAGATCAGAAAAAGGCAAATGTACACCTGATAACGCCTTGTGTGAGTGGGATTTAATATTCATGTTCATGATACTGAGGAGGGTGTTGGGCGCAGGAGTATCTCTGTCCTTGTATTTTGATATGGACTGGGGAGCAGAGTTTCTGTTGCTTGCAGGGCCTTGTAAATTGCAATGAGGATGGTGTGGGCTGGAATTGTGAATAGAGAGTCGATGCAGTGAAAGATTGGAGAAAGGCTGAAAGTCCATTCATGAGAATTGAACAGATGCCCACCAAGTTGAGTTCAGGTCATTTGACATGGAAATAGGTGCAAAGAGAGCAGGGATGAGACATACACATTTACGAGGATGATAAGATGAACTATCCTGCATCCAATAAGCGAAGAGGTATCATAGTCATGATCACTGGATGGTATGAGATGAGGCATGCTGAGATGGGATATGTGGATGCACCATTGTAGTAGTCAGGAACATTGTATTTTGCAGCCAGTTTAAGGAATGCCTCCTTGTCATGATTAGGTGGGGTGTTCCCCCCCTAGTGATTCAACATGTTAGTGAGATAACAATGCAATACATGCACCTACCAAAGACTCCCTGCCATCATTGTAGTTGCATAATAAGTAGGACTAGGTAGAAACTCAATATGAAGAGTGGAAAAAAGTGAAAACAATGCGCATATACTCACCTTCAGGCAAATTTATGTAGCTGCACTCCGTGCAGAGAGATGTATGAGAAGGGACAGACTGAGTGAGCTATTCGCTTGGATGGATGTTCATGTCAAGAACTACAAATGGGAGCTACAAAGGGGATGGTAGTAGTGGGAAGAGAAGAAGTGGGTGGAGAAGATCAGAGGTATGATTGCCAAGAGAGGGCTCAAAAGTTCAGCTTGTTGGGGCCTGTTTGCACTTTGCCAAAGTGCCAAAGGGTACCAAACAAAGGACTTGGAAGAAAACTGAATGTGCATAGATCAAGGAAGGATATGGCGCGCTTTGATGTATTTAGCATGCTTCTCAATCGAACGGCCAGCGCATCAAATTTTCATTTTCATTTTCTGTTGCACAAAGACTTTGATTACAGTACCTATACAACATGATGTATATATTATAGTGTCTAGGATGTGTCATATAGATACAAGAAGTATCTATATAATGTTGTTATGATAGTATCACGAGGTGGGAGGTATCATTCTGAGTTAATTGCTGCATTCAAATGTCGCATCGGGGTGTTGATGACATCACACAGACTTATTTTGTCATATGTTCAGCCACCCTACTGTCCACTAGGGGTTCGCAGTGCGAACTTGTGACCTTGCTTCATCTTAAATTTTATCAAGCCCATGATAAGGTAGGGCTTGTACAAAACTGGCCAACCTCATGTGACAAAGTACACAAAGTGTGACAAAACTACAGAAAGGACAAAAGCTCAAGAGATTCACAAAAGAAAGAAAAACTGCCTCCTGTGAATCATTGAGAAGGCTATCTGGCACAGTTTACAGGAGTTAAAATTGTGATAAAGTAGATGTAGTGGAAGTTTTTGATGTTATACATGTGTGTAGCAAATGTAGTGCACCACCGTGACATCCACTTTAGTGCTTTTGCTACCGGAGTCACTACATAGTCACATTAGGTCACACTAGGTCACGATTGGTCAGTTTTGTACAAGCCCTACCTTATTGAATGTTGTGGGAAAGTAGTCTGTGAGACCCACACTCCCGCCATCTAATTATAGTTCTTGCTCTCGTATTCCTTCCCGAGCCTCCAGCACCTCCCTACATGCCTCCATTAACCCTCACAATAGGGCCCTAGCACCACTTTATCCACCATCCAATCATATTTTGTACTCTTGCATTCCCTCGCGGGCCTCCAGCACATCCCTGTGCTCTAAAAGTGCTATACTACTTCATCTGGCATCTGAACTCTTAGGCTCTCATCTACGCTGTCTGTTGTTTCATTTTCACAAGGTATGTCACAGTGATTTTAGTTCAAAAATCTTTGAATGAAAATTTTCAACTCTGCAATGGCACATCAATTTAGACCCATATATTAGGGTTCAAAATGCAAGCCGCTGCATTCCCAACCCTAAAATGTGATTACTGATGTGGAAAAGTCTTCCTCTAGCTCATACTCAACCTATCTCGTGTCTACCTCATCACTCCTCATCTATCAACTGTCTTTGGTGCGCCTCTCTCCTTCTTTTTTTCCAATCAAATGCTGAAATTACCAAGTCTTGTGCTAAAGCCAGGGACTCCACATACACAACTGTTGTTTGCCTTGGCTATGAATACTCTCCTTCTGAGTCTGTGGATATCTCTCAACTGTGCACCCCCACTATCGGACAGGCAGCTGTCGCTGGGGATTATGCATATGTGTCTGTTTAATATTGATCTAGGTAAAATTTAATGAAGCCGCAGCACCATGGAAGAGCTCAGGACCCAGTTTGCAGAATATATGAGAATGCAGGATGATTTGGTGATACCTGGTGATCTGTTGAGGATGACTATTCTCGCTGTGCATCAGACATTGAGCAATGTTGCTTCTATGCTGAGCATTTTCTGCAGGCTGTGAAATATGCAGAGTATGAACTTGCTTAAGGCATTGTATGAGAATCCAACTACGCCTCCATCAAGAAGTATCTCTGCCATGTAAGTCAGACTGTTTATTTTTAATACATTTGTCAGAGCAGCGATGGGTGTCAGCCAAGACTGAGGCTGACACATACATGTACATCATGCTAAAAGCATGGACTCGAGATATTATATATTTCATCAACGGCTTCCAGACGAACTTCCGCACCAGGTGCAGCTGCATGCAGTTCTTCCAAGACAATTACATGGAGGCGAGCTGTCAATTGAGACGCTGAGGAGCCCCATGCCAAACATGATCATTTGACAGTTGGCTAAGCGGTTTGAGGGGAGCTTTGCGTTCAAGTACATTGTTTCGGTATGTTTCGATTTGCTGCATTATACAACACATTGGTTGCTATGATGGAAGGTGATTCCGTGTATATCATCCTATCCCCGCTAGCTGCGAAGATTTCATGCATTCTGTCATTAGATTGAATGTATACATGATTACCCCCATGGTTTTTATGCTCTACTGTCCGTCTAGAAGTCAGTTCTGTTATTATCTGTGTCAGTCCATACTCACTGAAAATGAAAGCACATTGATGGTCTGAAGTACTCAGCAGTTCAAATATGCTAGGCTGCATGGTGTTTCGATAGATAGATAGTCAATACAATGTTTAGGGGTGCGGCGTAAAATTATAGGATTAATTTTTTTATTCACATGGACTATTGCTTATGTTGGCACATCTTTACCAACATATGAACATGACCTTGCGGAGCAAGGTACAGCTGTTTTCATATTGATAGACCAGAATTTCAAAAATTCATCCAGCCACTTTTGTTTGTTGTTGGAGCGACGCCAAACAGAGGCACTCCATACTAGCTGCTTTTGTAAGTGTCTAACCTGACTTGGACTTGTGGGGCTTGTGTGGCCCTGTGGGGTAGTGGCACCACACGTGCACTGTGTTACTGATCTGCATCGTGCGACCAGCTGCACATGGTGATGGCTATCACCAACTGTAACCTTCATCATCGAGCAGTGAAGTCCTCATCGTGCAAGGCAATACAATGTTGTCAAAGGTTAGTGAGTTGGCTCATCATCAAATGAGGCTCCACTTAGTTTCTACAACCCTGGCATTTTAGTGAGACTGCACTCTTTGTCTCTATCGAAAACAATGGTGTTTCGGACCATACGACAATGATGATCCATCCATGCACTACTGCACTGTGGTATATAATCCTGTTAGCATTTTGGAAGGGGTGAGTCACATCGTTCAACCTTAACATGTCTGACTCGAGTCCCAGTTCTCCAAGCCAGAGTCCTTCTTGCCTTATTAATGCGGACCAACGTGAAATCCTTGAACATCATTATCCTTGTGCTGGCTACTGGTTCAACATGCTTCCAACTCATCCTTTCATCCATGGACCTCCAAGTCAGCCTTCGCAGACTCAATTCCAAGGCCCTGTCAGCATGCCTCCTCCGTATTCACTTCAAGGGATGCTACATAATCCTGATGGTGTGGTCCATCCAGATCCAGCCACTGCGCTGTCAACTCAACAGCCACATCACCACGGCGCAAATACAGTGATTTGTAAGTACATCCACTGTATTGTGACACAACTAGACAATATCTAACATCATGTGTGGTTAGCTGTTGCCAACATTGATATCTCCGTACCATTAAATACTGGAGTTGTAGGTGAACGTATCAGCCATGTCCAGATCCACCTTCCTGTCGATATTCCATTTGAAGACTTTTTTTCACGTATTTGTGCCAAAATGGACCTGGACCCAGCAAATGCTGAACTTGGCTACAAGTTTCACAATGATCGAGTCTGAGATGCCCCTCATCAGCTCTCCAATGAACAACAGCTTTGGGAGGCATTTGAGCAGGGCTGTGACCTCATCAAATGAGCTCGAAGTCGGCAAGTAGTTCTTGAAATACACAACCTGGTAAGAGAATATTCTAGTGTCTGAGTATTGCCCAACAACTAACTCACTATTAGGAGCCAACTCATCAGGCAGCATCCACCACCCGTGCTCGTCGTGATGAAGCTGTCAATGACAGTCAAGACCCTTTAACCTCCATAAGCTTTGCCTCTGAGCTGCAAGAGCTCAATAATAAGCTAGATTGTGAGAAGCATGGAAAATTCTGCTATATCAATCCTATTAGTGGTGACCACAAAGCTCAAGACATCTATAATCTCACCCTCTGGGCGAAAAAGATAGTGAGTCACAAAAGTTCAGCATAACAGCAATGTTTGACTCATGTATTCAAAGCTCTTGGCAGAGGCTACATATGAGAAGCCTCCGGAGATGGCTGCCTTTGACCATGTTCCAAAGAAATGACAACTATCTTCAGCAAACACCTCATCTGCCAGTGCAGCTCCCGCCCTTCCAGTCATTCACATCCATATTCCTCCTGTCACTAAGGAGGCTCTTGGTGATACTGGTGGCCACCGTCGAGTCAATACTTCCCGAGGTTTTGCAACAACACTCCTTTGCCATGACAAGGATGACGAATTTATCACCTACCCACCCATCACTGATGTTCTTCGCGAGATGGATGCCACCATGCCACTTTTGCATATGTCCCAATACGAGGACAGCCTCCTCAGTCATGGTGTTGCCTACGTCAATGGTGTTGTTGGCCTATCTGATGAGTTTTTTGTTGATGTTGTTGGCATGCCAATGGGTGTCATTCGATCATTCTTGAAAGTGACTCACCGACTCATTCGATATGCTAGGAAGGGCAAAGGAAGGGCCACCAATAGCAATGATGACAAAGAGAATTATGATCAGTGTGACTGCTGCGAGCAAAATTTTGAAATTTGAATGAAGCTCGGAGATTCAAAGTCATGTTTTGTAGTTGTCTACAAGTCTTGTAGTATTGTGGTCAAGTAGTATTGTATGAAATCTTGTATTGTCATTGTCAAGTAGTAGTATCTGTAATTCTACATTATCATTCACATCAAGTATCCACTGTCTGCAAACCATCCTTGAACTTTTTCCTCCGTCACAGATGCAAATACTGCTTCCCACAGCAGGCTATAAGGATCACAGGTGAGTTCACCTGTTAATTCACCCCTGGCATAGTCATGGTTCTGCCTTATCCAAGCTTTGAGTGCTGAAAAGGCTTCTTCAATAGGGTTGAAGTCAGGAGAATAAGGTGGCAAATACACGAGGCGCATTCCCCTGAAGCAAGATCAATGGCATTACCCAGACAGTGACATTGAGATAACTTACCTTTGCTGGATCATTTCTTCGAGATATGCCAACTTGTGTATGCTAGCATTGTCCATCATGATGACAGAGTTCTTCTGTGGGAATGGGTTCATATTGTCGAATAAACCCTCTATAAATTCATTGAAGGTTGCGGCAGTATATGGACGGTCTTGGATATCAAGATGTAAGACACCATCCAGTGAGATAGCTGGAAGAATAGAATATCTGAAAAGACAAACCGCTGTCAAGGCACTCCTGTTTGCAAATTTTCAACATACCTTTGACCCCAAATGAAGTAATCACACTGACAAGCATGTGCTCCCATTTGTGACCAAGCATTTGGATGTTTGGTTGTGATTTGGTTACAGGCAGATTCATCTACGAAGACGAGCTGATCAGGACGGAAATTCTCGGCAATGAAAATTTGATATTGGTCATGTTTGTCTTCATTGCACTCAATTGCAGTTCTAGTTACCTGGATGACATTGTCAGAATTTATATGCACAAACATAGTTTACTAGTACATACCCGCTTGTGTGACAAACCATGCCTATGCAGCATTTGTTCGATAGTGGCAAGGGATACCTCAATACCCCTCACCTCCCGTAGTGCACTTTGTAGTTCAGATAGAAATATGTCAGGAGTGCATTCAATATGTGAGATGAGGTACTACAACAGTGAGGTATTAGATTCAGAATATCTTTGTGCTTTCACTTACTGTAAAGTCCTGTGCTGTAAGTAGACGAGGATGACCGCTTTCCAGAGGTTTTTGAACAACAGAGCCTGTGAGTTGTGAGAGCTGAAGAACACGATTGACTGTTCGATGGCTGCATCCCGTCACTTGTGCTATGGCCTTTGATGTCATGCCATGTGTGGACATGGTAACCCACTGCTGTTTCGCAGCATCTGGTATATGTTGACGGTTTCTGTTCATGATGATGATAGCTAGCAGTTGTTATAGTACTAGTACTGAGTCGGACAAAGGTGGCTAGCACGAGCGCCTCTGTTTGGTGTCGCTCCAACAACAAACAAAAGCGGCTGAATGAATTTTCGAAATTCTGGTCTATCGATATGAAAACAGCTGTAATATCGGGTAATCTCTCAGTTGCGCAATTTTTGTGATGTCTCAGTTACTGAACAAGCTCTAAGTTAGTAAGTGAGTTGTCAGATCTCCACCAATCACATGAGTTCGCTACTGAAGTCGTAAGCGTTCGTAAGTGTTCGTAACGCGCGTAAGTTAAGTTAAGCGTTCATTTTAGTCGTTTTGCAGATGCGGCCCTGGTCGGATGTTCGGATGGGCCGGATATTCAAGGACCGAAATATTCTGGTCCAAACATCACCCTCAAAGTAAGCTTTCAGTATTTCGCCTTTTGGTGTAACGGTTATGCGGGGGCGACGGTCTGACCATGTTACACCGATCTATGTCGGAACAGTAACAGGGCACTCATCACTCGTGTTTTACAGATGCCTAGTCCATCCTTGCCAAAAAAAACCAAGGCCGTAACCAATCCCCGAACTATCCTAAACCGAGCGTTCAATGACCAGCTCATTGAGCGGCTGAAGTTGTAGATATTTGTCATGCCCTCGGTCAGAAAAGTGGTTCGATGAGCATGTCATATATAAAAGAGTTGACCGAAACGTCGTCAATTTGTTCTAGGTACCTGCTGGTTAGGTCAAGTGACTTTCAAGTGTCAGTCATTTGATTTATAGGCGCCATGGATCTTGTTCTCCACCTCGCAGATGACTATCTCCTCGACAAAGTATGGGCGCGGCTGCTACCTGTCAATGATCACCTAGTTCAACCGTCATATGCCTCCCTTTCCACCTCTGCAAACTTCACGTCAATCGTGTATCTTCAGCAGTCTGCCTGGGCTCGTGATTACATCCCTAGACAAATTATCTCTCTCAGTGTAATCACCCTCTTGGGCATTCACTTCCTCTATTTCCTGTTCGCGTGGCTCTCATACAAATTCATTTTCAATCATGAGATGATGCGCCATCCACGCTTCCTAGAGAACCAGGTCAAACAAGAGATACAATGCAGTCTACGAGCCTTTCCCGTAATGACCCTTCTCACTCTGCCTTGGTTCCAAGCAGAGGTAATGGGTTACTCAAAACTTTACGATAATGTAAAAGATTACGGTTGGGCTTACTTTGCCCTATCAGTACCATTGTCAGTGCTTTCTCTTCCAACCGTAACATATACTCAACATTTATCATTATTAGGTTCTTGCTTTTCACCGACTACGGAGTTTACTGGACCCACCGGCTATTGCATCACCCGAGTATATATAAAACATTCCATAAGCCTCACCACAAGTGGATAAGTATGCTGCTTTGCTCTGCATCCTGTCTTGGGCTTAAATAATTTGGTAGTTCCGACCCCCTTTGCGTCTCATGCCTTCCACCCCGTAGACGGCTACCTCCAATCTCTCCCATACTACCTCTTCATATTTATATTCCCTCTTCACCGATGGTTATACCTCAGTCTCTACATTTTGGTCAATCTGTGGACTATTCTCGTACGTGCTTTGCACTACTGACATGGACCGCTCTGACGTCAACGACATCAGATTCATGACTCCGATATGGTCACGGGACATGCCCTTGAAAAGGTGATAAATGGACCCGCCCATCACACACTCCATCATCTTTACTTTACGGTTAACTACGGTCAGGTACGCAATATCATTCCTGCTTTTCTCGTGGTTATCCCCTAATACCTCTTGTCCCCATGCCCAGTACTTTACGTGGGCAGATCGTGTCGGTGGTTCGTACCGCCACCCCGAGCCGTCCCTTTATCCCATGCTGGAAATCAAGAAACAGTCATAAAAACGATGATCGCGATGATCGCAGTGAACCTATTTATCATGACTGTCGCGCACCCGTGCCCAGTGACTGCTACTCGCTAATGTTAATACGCTTCTACATACTGCTTACTTGCTTTCCATTGAAACCACTCAGACTATCAATGAAAGAGTATCGGTGTCTTCGTTTAGGAGAGAAACATAACTGCCACTCTATTAATGCAACATCGAGACATCGACATATGGATGTAGATAGCGTACTACTCAAAAGCAACTCAAAGACTGTCCCGACGCCTCAATGTCACTTACTTCTTTGGCCGCCTCTTGACCTCATCATCCTTGCAAGCATGTAACATGAGTTTGTTGGGATGTCCTGGAGTCATACCGCTGTGGCCTTTAGACCAGTCATACGAGACAGCGTATGCAAAGATCGTGCCATTTCGATTGAATGTAGTAGCACTGATCGGCCCAGGGGCTGCTTCGAAAGCTAGAAGAGTATGATCAGTACAATCGTAAACAGCTGGTAATTAAAGTGGGTATACTCTTTAGTCGTGTGCGGGCGTCTTTGTCCCAGAAGTGGATAGTTCCATCAGAGCCTAGGTCGTCCAAATCAGACCCGTCACATGGAACTAGAAGCCTCAAGGCTTACCGCAAGTAGAGAAGGTTCCGTGCACAGGATGGAAGGATATGTCATTGACAGCGTACACGAGGGACTGGTCCTTGGCATTCGGTGTCTGGTCTTTTCGATGGCACTTGAATGAAAAATTGTTCCTGTACAGCACGTGAATGAAGGTATGAGCGGAACTATGAAATACCCATACGAGCTGTCTTTTTCTTCGACGTATCTGTGAGATGATGAGCGCCTGAAGACCAATCATCTGATAAAATTACGTACTGGATGGCCACACGACCTTCCACACTACCCACAGCAAACCCGCTGCTAGCGGAGTTGGTGAAGCATGAAACAACGCGCGTTTGCCATTTGAGCGGGGAAGTGATGGTCTAAATGGCATATATAGGTCATGTGAGGACATCAAGTGAACCCCGTGGACATACCTTATATGCCGTGTTTGGGTTTGTGAGATTGAAAATCTGGATATTGCGTTCGGCTGTAGCAACTACCATGAGCGGATATTGCACATCCATGCTGTAGCAGCGCTCAGGTAGTTGCACGGTGGCAACGGGAGTTGGCGAGCGCATATCCCAATACTATGGTGGTGAACGATAACGCGAGTTATGACATGTTACGAGGATTACAAGAAACTTACTTTGACGGTCTTATCCCAGCTGCCAGTGGCCAGAATGCCACCTTGTGGTGTCTCTATCCATTTTACGACCTTCACAGGGGCATCGTGCTGTGCCACTTGCTGTGATTGTCCATTCGTGATATCAAACATGCGTGCGGCATTGTCCGCACCCCCCGAAATAACTTTGTTACCCTCCTAGAGGCCAAAGGAATATTTAGCCATGTCAGGTGAAACCAAAGAAAGTACGAGCGCACCTTGTTCCAACACACGCTCAACACAGGTCCTTGGTGGCCAAACATGGCCTTGCCTTGGGTCTGCCCTCCAGCGCCAACTTCATACAAACGCACCTATCGATGTATCGATTACGCGTCAAACCGAGGCCAGATAACGTCTGAAAACACCTACATTGTTGTCCCAACTTCCTACAGCTAGATAGTCTGCTGCAGGGGAGAAAGCTAAGGAAGAGATGGAGTCAGTCGGTGTCTCCGGAACTTCGATATCCTTTTCTGCAGGCGCCGCTGGTGCTGTCGTTGCCGGGTTAGTTCCAAAAAATGACATGATGTCTCAGTCAAAAACAGTTGGAACTGAGAAGATTGCAAAGGTGCAATTCTAAGGAGCAATTCAGTTTCAGTGCAACAGTCAGACCAAAGTTGTGGCGTGGTAATTTCGGGTCGCGGTGTAATCAATGTCAAGGTCTTGGAGCAAGTATGGCGGGTTGGCGTAATGGTAACGCGCTAGTTTCCGGTTAGTGATCGCTAGAGATTCTGGGTTCGAGTCCCAGGCCTGTCGCTTTTTGCTTGTCTCATCACGTAATGGCTACAAATACACGGGCTAATGACAAAATTCAAAAGTACGGCTAACATCAAACTCCTAGCTACAATACATAGGAAACCAGTGAAACTCATGTCGAGCGTTGTCTCTAATCAAATTTGGGCGTATCAAATGTGCCTTCAGGATCTGAATATGCACAATCAGATGTGGGTACAAGAAAGATTAACCGCTAGGTTACTCACCCATTCCGTGAGCAAAAATATACTTTGTGTCTTCTTTGGCCATGTCCATGAGGGCGTTCGCGTCAGCCTCTGGATCCTTTGAAAAATTCTTGAATCGAGCACCAGCACGGATGGCGGCTGCGGCAACGTGATACCTGGACGTATGATTACAAAGCATCATCTGTGCAAATCATGGTCAAAATTAGGGGTAACTGATTCTTGCGAATGACGCACATCGAACGGCGAGGTCGTCGTTCCCTCCTCACGATACCCCTCTATGGTGGTTCTGTCCACGGCAGGTCTACCAAATAGCAGACCTTTCACTTCGATGGGGTAGCCATGGTAGTTGATAATGATATTCTTGTCCTCGGTGAAAAGGGTGTCGAAACCATCGGCGCTCAAGGCATGCGGGTGGCTGCCATGGGGCCCGAGAATCATGAGGTCGGTAACGTTGACGACGCGCACTCGCAGAGTGGGAACCATCTTGCGAAGGAGTGCAGCAGCCGCTATAACTTCGAATGTCACTTCGACACCGATACCAACGAGGACGCTGGTTACCTCAAATCAGCTCAAGTTCCACCACTACAAAAGGAAAATGCTCACACATCCGGATTCAAGCCATCGTCGACGCTTGCAAATTTCCATATAGACGAGCCCGCAACGCAGTGCTGTCTGACATTGAGCGAAATATGAGCAAAAAATAGGAGGGATCACCTCACCTTGTGCGCTTCTTCAGGGCTGAGCCAGACGGGCGTGAGGTGCTTGCTACCAACCATCAAGTTCACGTAGTTCTTCGCCCTCAAGCAATGGGACACCGTGGACAAGAAGCAATTTGCATCAGGCGGCAGGTATACACGGGCCAGCGCCGGCTTCAAATTAAGGACGGCACCGATGAAAGACGGGTTCTGATGAGAAAAGCCATTGTGGTCCTGACGTGCCCACGTAGATGTCTCCAGGTAATTGACGGAACCAACATCGTGCCTCCAAACAGTTTCATGGGCCTGGGAAGGAAGATATAAGCTGCATTAATTGGCCCATCTAGAGTATCAACGAACCATCTTCGTGAACTTGCTATACTGCACCATCATGGTGTGTACAATGCCAAGGAAAGCCTCATAGCTCGGAAAGAGCGCAGTCCTACCAGTAAGCGTGTACCCTTGTAACATGCCTTGGCAGGTATGCTCAGACAATATTTCGATGACGCGCCCGCCGTTAGCGCACGAATTTTCGTCCCACTGTAGATTGCGTCCGGTGACTTCAAACACGCCGTCTAGCTTGTTAGACACGAGTTCATCAGGGGAGAAAATCCGGAAGGTGCTTGGGTTCCTAGAAGAGAATGAATAAGAGCTATACACATGATTGAAAAACATACTTATCAATCGTATCCCTCAACAACGTTCCGACGACAATCATGCAACTTTCCTGCGATCCCTTTTGAACCCCAAAATGAGTCCAATCTGAAACTTTAATGGGCTGGAAGGCGGCGTGTGCTTCCTTCCTGCAACCAAGCTTTTTATCCTTCCTGTCAGGAACGATGCTTAGCACCTCTTCAGTAGGTGCACCCTCCACCACCCCTCTACTGCCTTTGGTAGCGAAAAGCTCATGAGGACCATAGCTTTGAAGCCAACCCTGTAAGGCTTGAAGCTCCTCCTGTGACGTCTTGGCCTGTGAAAGTGGCACTTGGTGTGAGCGGAATGACCCCTCGATGAACTCGTTATGCATCATCTTTGGACAGGTCCAACCCTTAGGGGTGCGGAGGATCAAGATAGGCCAGCGCGGCTTGAAAATAGGCGTCTTGGCGCGAGCCGCGCTTTGAATACAGGAGATTTCATTGAGTGCCCACTCCATAGACGCAGCCAAATCCTGATCAATATCTTCCAAGTCACTGACAATGCGGACCTTATAACCGTAACCGCTGAAATGAATACGTCAGACTGGAAGAATACATGTCGCAGTGTACCCCGGACCTGAATAGGGCTATGAGCTCTTTGTCGTCCATGCATCCGTAAATGGTACGTTCGGAGATCTTGAACCCATTCAGATGCACAATAGGGAGAACCGCGCCAGATTCTTTGGGATCGATGTACTTGTACCCATGCCAGGCAGTGGCGGTCGGACCGGTTTCGGCCTCGCCATCACCGATAACACAGGTAACAACAAGATGAGGATTGTCCATAACAGCACCAAATGCGACACTGAGAGCGTAGCCGAGTTCACCACCCTCATGAATGGATCCCGGGGTTTCGGCATTGATATGGCTGGCATACGATGGTGAGATAATAAGACAGAACAGCACCAGAATGTTCAAATTGGCGAACCTTGGAAAACCTCCAGGCGCACTAAATTTCGTGATGAGCCTTGTTAAGCCGGAGAGATCACGCGTGTAATGCTCCCAGAAGGGAGATAAAGAGTCCTCGAGCCATAAGGACGCCAAGATGGCAGGCGCTCCATGACCTGAAAGAGAGTTATTATTAACAACTGTCTTGACAATCACGTGATGCGTGATGATGGTGGAGGCTCCGTGGAGCGTGCATGCGCGCTGCATCATCATGTGTTGCGGCTGAAAATAAGGTAAACGAAAATTGACTCACCTGGGCCGACCACCAGCAAGGAGTCGATACCGGTCTTCTTAATGATCCTGTTGAGGTGCGCATATACCAAGACCAGACCGGGGCAAGTACCCCAATGGCCAAGAAGCCTCGGTTTAATGTCATCAAAAGTTAACGGGCGCTCAAGCAGGATATTATCCTTTAAAAAAATCATCGCTATCGAAGTCATTTAATATATTTTACGCGCTGAGGGTACTGACATACCAGCGGCAATGTAGTGGGCTGCTCGCCTGAACTTCTGAATCGCATGAAGCTCGGGCGTCGTAAGTATATTGCTCGTGTGGAGTTCAACTGTGACAGCATCGTCGCGAATCGACTCGGGGAGATGAGAGGGGCCTGGGGGAGGGTTTGGCTGTCTAATTATCTGGCCAGGCATTGTGGCGACCTCAACAAATTCTAGGTGTGGGGATGCAAGTTTTTTCTGATACTATGGTTTTTAAAGTAGTGCTTGTTCGTGGTCGTGGACGAAGGTGTGTTCCTTCCATCGACTACATATTATAAGGACGGAGCGATTTCCAATATGGTGTCGACGTCATGTGTGCGCTCCACTTGACTTCCGGGGGAATTTGACGCAATGGTTGTTTCATCGATCTCGTGGTGACCACAGGTTTCAAGGTTAAACGTTAGATACTCATACGTGATGTATATTTTGTTTAATTCATTCTCGCAAGTCGACGTTGAAACTTGACAGCGAGCGCTTGGTGTACCTGATAGGGGCTATCAACTTAAATAACCCCTCTCCATGCCGGCGATGCTCAGATCTATGGGTCAGCATGCCATCTCTAATAGCGCTGACTCTCTCGAAATAGTTCATAGGCTTACCATCGAAACAAAGATGATCTTGAAAGTTTCCATAACATTATCTACAAACTGCTCAACATATAGAGTACATGTTCAAGAAACGAGGCATGTATTTATTATAGCGATCATAATCTCGACGTGACGCAAAATAATCATACTAGTAGTGGTTACATATAGAAGCAAGAATGTCCCCTTAGACTTCGAGTGATTCTGCATGACATGAGCGACCTTTTAAAAAAACAGATAGAAAAGCGGACTACTCACGGAACGGGCGTTTGCTCACAGTGCACGGGTGCTCTGCGAGTAGTACTTGAGTTCTTCACGCCCCCTCGAATAAATGAAGTCGGTCTACCAGGAATGAGGCACATTGTATCGAACGACCAAGACTGTATCAATAACCGTTTTAGCAAAAGTTGTTGTAACAAATCAGTAAGGTAAAAGCCATTTCTCACCTTGGTAACCTTGAAAGCTAAAAGGGTAGAACAGAGGGTATTAGTTTTTGAGGGACGAGACTTCCGCAGATGCCTTTCGAGTGACTGCAATGTGCACCAGGTATTTTATACTTAATAGAGAGAATGTGGATGGCATGTACAAGATATTAAACCACACATTATGCGAGCAGCTGTGTGCAGTGGCTGGCTTGCTGCTAACAATGTGAGCATTGAATGAAGGCAAATGAAAACCAAACCTTCTGTGACATGCCTCTGAGACTGATTAGCGTAAGTAACGGGGCATGATCTGAGGCTTTTTGGATGATCACGGTAATTTGGCCACCCGTTCAACCTGGCTCCTTGGACTTAAGACAGGCGCGCAATTGTGATCATGCCTCCGCCGATACGTGGTAGCGGTTGCAATACAGTGGAATGGGCCGTCGTCTAACTCTTAACAGAGATTGGGGACATCAGGCTTCTTGCGTTATTAGCTAAACGCTCGCCTATGCCTGGCCAGTAGGCAAACGGAACTTCACAGCAAACATGGGTGCGAAAACCGGTCCGGTAGAATGCTGTGGTTCTGACCGCAGAAGATTTAGAGACCAACCAGACAGGTTTGAATATCGCATGCCAGACGGGAATGGTGTCAACGTTATCCTGGCGAGCCAAAGATAGCATGCCAGACCAAAAGATTGGCCTGCCACCAAATTAAGAAGGCTGATCCACAATATGGCCTGTGGCAAGACCGACGGCCAGGGGTCTTGAGGAGCGCACATAGGCCTCCATATCAGACTCGCACTATCCATTCTGGCAACTACAACCTGAAACATCGGATATGAGAGATGGCATCATTGTATGGCTGTGGCTAGCTGCTATATATCTATCGCATTAGCACACAGGAATGACTGTCGTCACAGTCTGCCTCACTCTTGACTAGCGAATCTGCCAGTGAACTCGAACTCGCGGTGCGAACTGTGTGATGAGAGCAGCGGCTGAGTCACGGCAAAAGTAATAGCAACAGATAACAACAAAGTACTTACGATCGAACACTCCTCATTGATATGCAGCTGTATACTACTGAGTCCGGAATTCAGAAAGCCCAGCACTCACGAGAGCCAGAAGACTCGAACACAATAAGTTATGCATAAGCACTCAGGCCTTGATTCCATGTCCCCTCATCACCCAGCCTCCTCCGTAGCACGTGATGTGGTGTCTGCAACGTGGATTCAACGAGGACCGTGTCTTAGGATCCACGTTAGTCAAACAAGGATGTTGTCTTGAACGCGCAATATATCGTCTTCTGTCCTCTTCCTGCACCTTTATCATGACTGGAGCATTGAGTATCAGAATAGCGTATGCATCGAGCGTTTCCTGAGGATTTCTTCCGCTTAGTCTCATATTTGCAGTATCATGGGATCCTCTGGAAGTGGCAAGACGACATGTGTGTCACCAACAGTGAAATTTATCCAAAGAAACCACTGATCGACTACTTTCAGTCATCAATGAAGCCAGCGGATCTGACTTCCCAATTGGAAGAAGTCTCGAGAGTTGCACCAGCGAGGTGCAAGCAACGAAACCCTTCAAACTCAACGGCCGGGAAGTGACATTGATCGACACTCCTGGCTTCGACGATACCAGCCGCAGTGATACGGACATCTTAGCAATGATAGGAGCATACCTCTCCCAGACGTATGTCTTCGTTGTCATATTTTGTCTCGTTCTGATCCAAATGATATAGATATGAGCACGGTGCCAAACTTGCTGGCATTATCTACATGCACCGCATATCAGATTTCCGGATGGGAGGAACAAACAAACGGAATTTCAAGATGTTCCGAGAGCTCTGTGGGGAGTCCACTCTGCGAAACGTGTTGATCGTGACAAACATGTGGAGTGAAGTCGCTTCTGACCTTGGGGAGATGAGGGAAAAGGAGCTAGAGAATAATTTCTTCAAAGGAATTCTCGACAAGGGTGCGCGGATGTTGAGGCATGAAGGCACGCAAGAGTCGACGCACCGCATACTACGATACCTGATTCATAACCAACCAGCCACGCTTCTCATTCAAAAGGAGCTTGTGAACGAGCACAAGAATATTGTGCACACCTCAGCAGGATCTGAGCTGACGCGGGTCCTGAATGAACAACGAGAGCGCCATGAAGAGGTAGTGGCTCAGTTGCGCAAGGATATGGAGGCAGCAATTCGAGATAAGGACCATGAAACGAGAGAGGAACTTAAGGAGGAGATCCAGACCAAGCACGAGCAGATCCTGAAGTTGCGATGCGAAAACGAGCGGCTAGAGGCAGAGTTCAGGGCAGCCAAGGAGAGGCTCGAGGTTCGGATCAACGCAATAGAAGAGAAGTATCATGAACAAGGACAGATTGTAGACGCCTTGAAAGAACAGCTGGAGACGGAGAGAAAAGATAGGGAAAAGCTGGCCATCGAACAGGAACAGAAGGAACAGCGATTGCGTCAACTGGAAGAGGAAAATGCAAATGTTCAGGAACTGGAGCGCCTAAACAGCCTTCGAGAACTGAATAGGCTTGTTGCTGTTCGTGTTGAGCTCCAGGAAGAGCTTCGCAAGGAAGAGCAGCGGAGCACGGAGTCGGAAGCCAGTGGCAGCGGACTGATAGAGGATGTGGTCAGCTGGGTGAAGTCATGGTGGTCATGATGAGAACCGTTGTATTCATTATGTATACTACTACTACCGACTCCTACCTTATACTAAGTGGCACCTCCTTTTGATGTTTATTCATTTCATTAGCAAGTACATCTCGCACCTTGAAAATCATTAACAAGTCATGGTCCACGTCCGCATCAACGAACGCGAGGCTAACCCGAACCCGCACGTCAATTTCATCTCCGTTCTGCCTATGGTCGATGCCACTCTCGAGGATGATGCTCGGCAACTTATGCGGGCGCTGAGCGCCCAGGTGAAGCCTATCATGAAGGCTCACGGTTTCACCGTGAACAGCTTGGAAGAGGTACGTATCTATTCTAGCGTCCCTGGGTTGGATCTACTACGTTGAGACTGTCTAGTACGAGTATAACAGAGTGTTCGCGGGACGGAACTGGAACAATGGAGAGACAATTGGTACGCACACTACCCCGGAACGACATTAGAGAGCTCTACTGAGGCGTTCATGCAGAACTGGTTTTGAAGTCTGCTAGCGGTTCATTTGTACCAGTTCACTGGCTCTTGAGTACATTGTGCCACGAAGTGAGTCTTCCTATTGATTCGTGTGACAAGTTCCCAATTGACACTGGACGCGTTTGTCGCGTTAGCTCGCCCACATCAAGGTCAGTTATACAGATTAACAACCATTCGACACATTAACACGCGATACAGCATATGAATCACGGAACTGCTTTCCAAGCCCTCTGGCGGCAGCTACGCAATGACGTCCGTGCCCTACAAAACAGGGGATATTATGGTGACGGTACGCACCACAACCAAGCTTCGCTCACATACACCTCACAATTCCCCAGGCTATTGGTCTTCCGGGACCAGATTAGCAGATTCCGCGAAAATAGCCGGCCAAGGTATTGAAACGGAAGACCTTCCTGAATACATGGTCAGTCATCCTCTATCTCTCTCATCTATGCTCAGATATTGCAAACAGTGTGGTGGTGCTCACTCACGTGCCCGACCTGCCTCTTACCAACGACGTAAAAGAACTGCTAAATTTAGTGGACCTTCTGGGCACACAGGTGCTCAATCTGAAAAGAAACGCAAGGCCGGCTCCAGGATTACCAACGCTAGCGCATTCGGCTCGTGTGGAAAGGCACTGAACGAGGGCATCATTGGCGAGAAGAAAGAAGCCGGCACTGGATTTAGGAAGAAAGCTGGAAGGTATGTGATTCGTCTTTCAAATAGCGAGGGCTCATGGATCATGGTTGTTTAGTAAACGTGCCCGGGAAGAACGTGCGCTCGCTGCCGAGAGACGTATGGAGACGCACAAAAGTTGGTTTTATCTTACCCTCGTTTCGTCAGGCGATTCACTTTCCGCTTCAGTTGCATCCGTCTCTTCAGCGTCAGCATCCTCTTCGCGTTTGAAGAGTGAAATTACAACAGGTTCAGAATCTGAATACGAGGCTGAACCACTAGAAACAGATCAAGACCGTCGAAGAACCATGCTCGAATCTGTCGGCGGACAAGAGCTCGACGAAATGAAAGCAGCCAGATATGATTTCTCAGACGACTTTAGACTTCCTGGAGAAATCGGATTTGATTCATGCAACATCCACAAAATTGAACGTCCCGATGCTGCTGTGTCGACAGATGCGCAGCCCGGTTCATCGACCCAGCCTGACAAGAATCGGCGTGTGGTAGATGAAGAGATATCTGTCGCTAAGAAATCACGGATTTCTGGTGCTTCTAGACCTGACAGTACAGAAGATCAGCCGGATGGCTGGAACTGTCTTGTGTGTACCTTGTACGTCTTCTCTGAGATTGAGGTTCAGGCTGATGGAATTAATTTGATCGTGTCATCAGAGCTAACGAGCCAGAACACCTAGCCTGTTCTGCCTGCAGCACCCCTAGGGGAGACTCTCTGGGTGAACAGAGCTTCATGAGCATCGGACGTGGACTACAACACCAGTATACCCAATTGTGCCAGTATCTGTTGTGACACTATAGAATGATGTGTGATCTACAACGGACAAAGTTCGAGGTAAGATGACAAGTAGTATGTTGTGTTCAACAAGATGTAATGAACAAAATAGTCAGTGAATGGTATGATACAAAGCTAGGAAGTCACAAAACAAATGATATATTGTATGAAAGTAGTCCTTATATGATCCATGTGCCAGCAACCAGAGTGATCAGTATCGGGATAGCCAGTCCTACTCCCGAAATGCTCCGAGAGGCAGCACTATTCCACCCAGGGGGAACGCCTAGAGTTACTAACGGTTGTGAGATGTGATATGTCGATGTCACCACTGCACCGTTCGAATTCGTAACAAATAGTGTATATGCACCAGTCACCTGAGGGAGGGCGGTGGCGTTAACGGCAAGTGTCCCTATGAGGGGGCTATACGTGCTCGTCGCGAGCTCAGATTGGACAATCTCGCCATAGACGGCTGGAACTGAGGTGTTAAATGCGTACGGCGGCGTCGTGTAAGTGGGTGTAGAGAGAACGAAATTGGGTAGAGTGGTAGCAACTGTCGCAGACTCGGACGAAAGGGAGGATTCGACAACTGAAAAAGGCTGTACAGGTGCTGAGGCGTTGTTGTAGGGATATAACCCAATCATCGGGGGCTCCTGGTAGTCAATTCCATAACTACATATAAAAAAAAACTGATGAATACCGTGTGGAAAGATTCCAAGAAGTTCAACACACCTCCATATTGAGTAGACAGTTCGCAAAAACGGGGTTCCTGGACGAGTGAAGCGGTTAAGAATATGTAGCGACACGACAGTAAACCGACTATTGTACCTAACAACCAGTCAACTCCATCGGTACTGGGAGGTGCAGCTTTAGGCCAAGACAAACAGAGGTCCGGGTTCCCCTCAGCTGGGCCAATAATGTAATCGGTAGGTTCCAACACAAACGTAGCTCCGTCCCTGGAAGAAAGGTTTTAGCAGATGAAACGGGTTATTTAATCAACCACTAGTCACCCAAAGCTGAAGGATATGATTGCTGAAGAGTCGCAAGGTACGGCCCATTGGCCACCTTCATTATCATTGCTTTATCAACTCTGGTAGTATCCAAAATAACATAATGACTTACTCTCGTCAACTAGGCGGCTACTGGGAAACGAACTGTACAATCGTATTACCTAGAAGGATATGAAGATTAGTCGGTCGATGGAACAATAAGGAACTGACATCTTGATATGGACCATATAGTCCTGTAGTGCCGCTGTGGAGAGTTAAGCGCGCACATGGACAAGTCGTTGATTACTTACACGTCCAAAAGAGCAATCGATGAATTGTCGTTTGGGCCAGGATACGTCGGTTGAGGAGTATATTGAGTTCCATTGACCTTGCAAAAAAAATAAGTATCATCTCACGCTATAATGGCAAGATCAAGAGCCTTACCGCAAAACTGCTCATACGAATCGCCCAATAGAAGTAGCCGGATGTATTGGTCTGTGTACCGACCGGAGAGAATGATACGACCTCGTTCCATACAACCTGACTAACGTTTTGCACGACAGATACATCAATGGCTCCTTTTCAACACGAAGACATGAGTATCGTAAACCAGGCGCTCGGTAGAGACTCACCGAGGGTAAACGTTCCGGTTGCATTCCTCGTAAGACTCAATCCAAAAATCGGATAGTCCAGTATGCCTTGCTGAGCCAAGGTCGAAAAAAACGGCGTGGCTAGAACGGACCCGATCCGTGAGGTTGACACTCACAACGCCTGCTCAACTAACATACCGCTTGCAGCCCTCGCTGATATTTCTGACTGTCGTGAGAATCCTAAGCCGAGGAATACCGCTGACCTCGCTGACCAGCGTAATATTAGAACTTGTTACAACGCCTGCCGAGATGTTAACGTGGAGCGTTTCGAGTCGAAAGTCTAGCCTTACCAAATGCCTGATTTGCAACCGTCACGTTTGCAACTTCTACAGTTTCTCTGGCAACGAACCCGGATGCACCTTGTTATACCGTTAGCATTGGAGTGAATTGAGTGGATTATCGCACATACCAGTCCCATCAGCATAGTTAACAGTGAAGGCAGTCTCGTTATTATTGATGGACACGAAAGTGGGACTGGCATAGGTGAGAGGGTATCTTGGCACAGACATACATGTGCTGTTAGTACATTCTGTGGAAGTAAGCCAAAAGTCGGCAGAACCTGCGACACGCTTTTCATACGGAATCTTATTATCAAAGAAGTACGCATAATACCTGTATCAAGGGCAGCTCGGAAGCTTATTTGACCAGCCTGGAGAACAACGTAGTATGTCCTGCAAGATGGTCCGATGAGAAAGGTGTATATTTGAGGTTTAAAGACTCACCCATCACCAGCGATGGATACCGGCGAGATTCCAAAGGCATTGAGTGCGGTTGAGTTTGACGCCTGACCAGCAAGCAAGGCAGGTCCATCCTGCAAGGGTGTACTTGGAAGATTATAGGTGCTAGCCGCGAGAACATTTTTAAACTGCAGGGCAAAGTTTAGAACGAGAAGCAGGACGACCGTCGCCAACCGGTTCATTATGCGCTCTTCAAAGGGACCGATGGACCTGAGTCTACCAGGGTAACATTCGAGCACTATAAAAGCTTGAGTGGGAAAGAAGAAGGAAGAATGGCCAAGGAAAGAACCTTGGGTTTGGAACTTGGTCACAACGACGGCGAAAAGATCAAACCAGACCCGGGCGGCATGTCGTTATGACTTGCTTGTTTACATGTCACATGTTCAGCTCGCGAAAGCATTTTCTAAGAGAGTAGAAAAACAGTTATTCAGACATACACATAACTACAGAGTAATACATCTACATCCGAAAGAAATTGAAGAGTGACAGGAGGAGGCCATAGAGTAAAAGAGACTAGAGGTAATGAGCGTCACAGTGGTATCACAAGAATGAATAGAACATATAAAGATGAATGTCTTAAAGATAGGTAGAATAGGATCATGTCACCGTTTGGCAAACACTTTTTTCAGCAGCGCTAGGACCTTCGGTACGTTCAGCTGAACGTACTCTAGATCTAGTAAGTGCTTGTTGTCTTTTTGCTGTTGACGAAGTGAGTACTGATAGTGTGCCAATCTGGAGGGAGGAACCAACCTTCTCCAATAGGTCGTCGATCTTTAGATCCATCTCAAGAATGGCTTTTTCCCGACCCTTGTAGTGCAAGGAAATGATGAACGTCCCAGGCGTAGGTGATGTTATGTTGAAATAGATGTTGGGTCGACTGAAAGGAGGTCAGAACACCGTATAACAGGGGACCGAGGAAGTACGTGCCGGTTATCAGGAACATTACTCTCCACGATGATCCCTTCCTTCTCAAGTTGCGCATGGGTAAAGCGATACGGACCAAGAACGGCTGATTTCGATGGCTTCCTCTCTTTGCCTCCGACCGTGACGACACCCACTCCAGTCGTACTGCCTTTGTCTTTCGACGCAGTCAGACGGACGTTCTGGAGATACGCCTTGTATTGCTCAAGCTGAGAGCGCAGGTAAGCATTGTGGTCGCAGATCGTTTTGTAAACCGCTTCCAACGACTTCGTTTCTAATACCACCTTCTCCCGTAGATTACCAAGGTGAGCGAGCTCAGCAGCAACCTCATCTTGCATGAGCTTATAGCCATCTACCGCCTCGATGATATTCTGCTCCTCCAATTCACGAAGCATCTCCTTGACCTTAATGCCTTTGCGCACAAGCGTTGCATCCTTCGTCGTAGCCGCCCGTTCAGCGATCGCAGCCAAATTGTACGGCCGCTTTTCGGCAGCGTGGGGTATTGAACGTATGAGCTGTACAAGAATAGACTTGGTTTCCATGTACAGCATGTCGCTTGTTGATACCGAGTCCATCAGAGCACTTTGGATATCCTGTACAGGCGTTTCCCAGCGGCTGTACAGGTTCAGCTCTATGGCACGGTTCTCCTTTCGCGGAACTTGTGACGGAGCGGGTCCGAGTTCATCAGTCAAGATACGTAAATGCTGCTTGTCGTTTGGGGACTGGAGCACAGCCGTGTCAGAAACTAACAGAAGGACAAATAAGTTATGCTAACGAGAGTTTCCACATGCTGTAAAATCAAAGAGTGAGTGTTGTACAGCTCGTTCATGGTGATGTGGATCATGAGGTCTTTCTTGGATAGAGCCATGTATTGGTCCATCTAAGATTCAACGTTAGGTGACATGAATGTCGAGAGGTATGCTCGAACGCACTTCAAGAGTGTCATAGAAATCTCCGACCTCGCAAAGACTGTTGAGGAATTGGTTGATCCGTGCTTTATTATTTTCTACAAAGGGATTCAGAGTGATCATGTAGATCTCCTTCGCATACGAGGGCTTATTTGCAAGGTTCTGCAGCATCTTTGCAATCTAATGGGGTGAATTACTAGCTAAGAACGTGAAAACGGAAGGGCTGATACGGTACGTACCAGGGTCAGTGTTCGGCGAGGGTGTTTAGCGGGGACGCCTTCAACGAGCATGTATGCTTGGGGAGTGACAATAGCAGGATTGATGAACCGCAGAAAGAAGAAGCCTCCTATCAATGAGCAAATAGCGTAATCAGTTGCCTCGGGATACTTTCGCTGTGACACGCCAGAGGATTAGCGCCAAATGAAAGGAAGATGAAAGCGAACCGACCCGGGTCAAACTGCGGATCTGCTTGCAGATCCATCGAATACCATACGGCACACTTTCCATACTTTCTATTATGGTTACGAGGAAGCTATTCGCGATTTCCATTAGCATAGTAAGCCGTGGTGCAATGATGGCTTGAACGTCGGCATTCTCGGCGGCGACCTCTGGGGGTACTCCGCGAGGTAGGTTGGGCGGTAGTGTACCTGTTTCTTCTTCTATTTGGTTTATCATTTGCTCATACACCTGTATATTCGTTAGAGATCTCGACATGCCTCTCGGCACTAGTTATGGCACACCTTTACAGGATTAATTTCAAGGTTCAAGTCTTTGTGTTCTATCAAGCTGTTGATGCGTTCTGCCAGCACCCCCTTGAGATAACTTTGCCCAGGACCTCGTCGGGTGTAAGTAGTCATCATTCGGGACACAGGAGTGTTAGCACGCAGTAGCGACCCAAACTCGGTTGCTGTCTCAAACTGCGCGGACAAGACTGATTGGAACATCGTTAAAAGAAGATGTTCTTCGCGACTCTCGTATTGGTTTCCATACAGCGTGAACATGACCGTCTGCAAGAGAGTGTCGATCTCTGATAAGCTGACAAGTCGACATAGTGCAGCAATATGACGGGGTTCAGACTGGAGAAGGAAGAATAGGTTGGAGTACTGTTGTAATTTTCGATCATCAGGGTAATGGCCTTCGGTTGGATCGACTTCTTCCAATGTCCGTTCCACTTCACGTTGCTAACCCATATAGGTGAGCCGAAAAATAGAATTTAACACAGCATCAGAACACGGACCTCATCGGCGGCCATACGATTCTGAATAAGGAGAGCGATGCGAGAGTCAAGGTAACGGACGTCACGCTCAAGCACAAAATTTTTCTTGGACTGGGCGGATATTTTGCCCTTGAGGTCACGAAGGCGTTTTTGTGCTGTGTTACAAGGCCTTCGGAATAAGAACATGAAAGTTATAATTTGGACACACCTCGAGCAAGGTCATCCTCCACTTCAACATCCTGCTCTGCGGCCATACTGAAAAGGGCGGTAACACTATAGCGATTTGTATTCCTGTTCGTGAGTCTCCTCCCCATAACTGCGCCAGGGGAGGTCGGTTGATCGACATACGACATGATGAGTCGAGAAAAAGGCTGTTGATCTTTGGATCGTGAAGCGAGGACCTGTATAGACTTTGAAGTCTACCCTACAGGTGTGGAGAGATTTCGTAGATTCCTAAGCTAGCACCGGCGCAGCCTGGCAACAAAAAAACAAGAAGGCCTGTTGGATATCGAATTTTGTGGGTATCAACAAAAGAAAGAAAGAAAGAACAGAGGATGGAGGCAGAGGAAGAAGGCAATGCAGGGAGATGACGAAGAAGACAATATATCCGCCAATGCGGCGCGTAACACAACAGCTGCAGCTGTGGCAAGACCAACGAAACGCTGAGAATATCTAGCAGGTGGCGCGAAATTACTATAACCGTCGTATCAAGGTTGAATCAAACTAGTCAACAGAGCTAGCGAAGCTTTTACCTGTGTGAGCAACCTCCAAGCACCTTCTCTGGTTAGTGCATTCACAATCCTCACAATCCGTTTCATATCCGTTTTGCTGATTTGGAGCGACACGTTTCACATCATAGATCTGTCTTGTCACTGATCTGTGTTACACCCAAAATATGCCTTCAGTGCCTTACACAGATTCAGGACTTCGTACTACTACCTGGGTCTCTAAGCCCGTCATACTCAATTGAACGTTGCGCATTGATCAACGTTAGACTTAATCTCACTGCCACGTTAAATTGTAAGCGATCATAACACACAAACTCCAAAAATTAGCCGCATTAATATGATTGATATCAGGCCACGGGGTAAGCTTGTCACACTTAGCGAGCTTGATTCATGAAAACGGTATGTCATTCCTCGACTGCCAAGGATAGCTCCATTACGGCCACGCCTCGTCACTCGAGATGCACGAAAATAGCCAGGTTCTCCTGGCATGCCATACCTAGACGGTTCTGTTCAGCGCATCCCGCTCCGCCGCTCAGCACAGTGAACCTACAGGTTGTCATTGCGTCATCACAATCACAATGGGGAAATGCGGAGCCTGGTCAACAAATGATTGTTAAACGTATCCGAATGGAACCCCGCTGCGGCTGGCGTGTTCGCGGAACGTCAAGTTTGGTAATCTCTTTGCTATCACTGGGAGTCAAACTCATTCTCGCTGGCCCTTGCACATCTATGACGATTTCCAAAATGGGGGCGATTGTGACAAAGCGTATACTTATCCGCTCTCGAATATCAACCCTTTCTTCAATTCGATATCCCCCGAATACGTTTTACGGTGTCCCTGCGGGCCCCGTGCGTGCACCTTAACATGGTCCGTTTTGAAATTTATAATGATAAGATGATAAGAGTTCTTATATTCCTTTCTGGTGCAGTTCTGCATTTTCTTGTTGGGTATCATCTGTGACTCACGGGGGGTGAAATGGAATGTGGCGGTTCTTGGACAACGATGACGCCGCGTTGCCTTTATCGCCATGGAAATACGCGATGACATTGGGTAGAAGCCACAAAGCCGTTGCTAGAGGTAGGGACGTTTGTCAATCCTGTGGAATCCAGAAAATTCAGGTTGCCATCAACCACGATAATTGTTAGTCTAGGGTCAACAACCATTAATGGTACACTCAATGACATCCTACAGAAGGGGAGCTAGGAAAGATCTCCGGCGATCCTTGATTGCAGACTCTACACTTGGGAGTTCTAGCTGCCAAAATCGACTTGCAGTAGCGCCCTGTAAATGATTGCATGCACTGCTCCATGATGCTTCATTACATAAGTGCGTATCAGAACTTTTTGTCAGTACTTATCAATATTGTTCCTATTCTTGTATTTGGCAGGTATCGAATGAATGCCAAATTGACGGTGCCACTCCGCACCCTTGGTAATGTTCGGTTGATATGACCTTCTAGATGTCATCTGACAGTCTGTCTTAATTACAGAGTGAAATCGCGCTAGGCTCAGCCCCAGGTCGATTGAAGAAGTATGTCAGCATACGTATGCACAAACCAAACCCAAATTGTCGAACTTTTTTTTGAATCTGCAGTGTGATATCAAGTGGGGTTCGGATCTCTTCAACCTCCGTAAACATGCACCTGGTGATCGATCCCCTCTCGTTATTCCGTCCACACATGCGCTTGTGTGGCTCGCGCTTAACAATGGCTGTCCTGACACTCCATATCATATAAATTGGACTCAGATATCGGTTCCATCCATCTAACTCTTCTTGTCTTAGTACTCATCTAATTGCCATGTTCACCAGGTAAACATTCTTTACTTGTAGACCTTTGGCCGTTATTCAACATTTTTCTCAGATGCTTCTTACCCCACTGTCCATGCGAATCTACGAGCCCGCAGGACTCCGTCATAATAGACGTCGAGCCCTGCGCTGCCATTAATGCGCGGGACTCGGATATTGAGGTAGTCGTCTACCGCTGCTGTTGGGATACCCGGGGTTCTCCCTGTAGATTCTTCATCGAAGGTTCTCCCATGGACATTCTCTCTCATCTTCGAGAACGACATGGTGTCGTGTACTCTGCCGACGCAGATATCGAATGCTGCTGGAGTCCATGCTCGATGGACAGACGTCTGAAAATGAGCAGTATAACGAGGCACATCGCGAGGCATCTGGGTATCCAATTCAAATGCTCGCGATGTGGACTCACGGCTCGTGACGACGTCGTTCGTGACCATATCAGAAGGAACCCTGGCTGTGCTGACGCTGCGGTACAGCTGGTTCACGGCTCAGGAGCCCGGCGGATAGTCTCAGCGTGACTTTTTTGCGCCCACTGATTTGACTTTTAGCCAATTAGTTCCTATATACGTTAACTACGTTAGTACTTACTACGAATGCCGCATGGCTGGGACGCGTTATGAGTTGTCTACGCATGTGTTCGATCAAATTATGTATTGATAGTGAAGGCAATGGTGTTCTCTCTCACCTCATGGATTGAAAAATGTTTGAAATGGCAACTTTTAATAAGTCGGGTGAGGGTCATGATCGGGTGAGATGGCAAGTTACGGTAGGCATGGTGTCTGTCTTTTAAAATTTTCTTTTGTCTGAAGCCACTAGGATATTCCGCCGGAACTTTGTTTTCGTTCTCTCCCCTCCTTCGTGGAGTCGGGGAAGGTTCACCTTTTTAGGATGAGTTGGCAGGTATGGTAAGGTTAAGGTTCCCCCTTGATTACTAAGCCGATCACCAGGATCGGTTATGGTTCATGACAGATAACGTCGGTAAGCCGCACGTTGCTAACTCGCGATTGTGATAGAAAACCATACATGTACAAAAAGCATGGGCGTACTAAGAAAGGTCTACGGTTGCGAAATGCCCTCAAGCCGCAAATAGAACATTCTTGGGTCCGAAGAAGTTTCTGTTTCTCACTTGGAGATGTAAACTCCACTATCCCCAGCCTACCGAGTTAAAAGTAGATTGGAATACTTGGTCAAAACAAACTGAACACGCGAAAGAATTGTAGGCTACCAACGACGAAGTTTGCATGGATGTGCACTTCGACTCTCATTCCGATTATGCTGATAGGCAATAAAGTCAAGGGCAAGTGAAGTAAAAACACAACTAAGTAGTAATACTTACTATTTCTTCACCGCTGCCTTGCCCAGGACGTTTGCAGGTTGAAGATGTTGTAAGAGACATTTGGTCCGCAGTTAAAGAGCGCTTTGAAGTCTAGGAAGGACGTTCACAGTACTTATAAGTCCCGCAAGGCGCTGGATCAAGCCAGGCCTTTTGACCCGCAAGGCCAACGTGTAACAACGATCTTATTGCGGAAGCGAAGTTGTAACTCGAGAGCCCAAAATCTATACGACCGCACCCTCAATAATATCAGCTCAAGAGATTTGGAAGCACAAACCTGAGCGTCAAACAGAAAAACGCAGTTGGAAGCCGGGGCCCTGGCCCGGGAGGCTGGAGCTGCTGCTTAAGCCTGAATTTTACTATCAACGTTATCATACGGGGTCGTAAAGATAGGCTTAAGTCACTGGTAGTTTGGAAGGGGCCAACTGCCAAGTCCTGGTAGACATTGAGCTTCGGGGCCCTGGTCAGTTGTTACTAGTGTCCACCACTGGTGCCATAGGAAGACTGGGAAACATAACACTATGCCGATAAGAGTGATTATAGTCAATTTTTTCCATCAACGTCAGCAATAGCCCATAAATATTTTAATATTTACCTCGATGATTGGACTTGAAAGAATATATATATAAATCGAGAGCGGAGCCGGGAGGAAAGAACAAAGATTGGAACAGGGTATTTGTCACGTGCTCATCGCGACCTGTGCCAGAACCGTAGTTCTCACTACTAGTGGCACTGTCACTGAACTACCGTAACACAAGCAACTGGCGCGGGTAAGTTTGTCAATTGCGATCGAGCCTGACTTGCACGCACCTTGTCCTCAAACTTGTTGCGCTATCTATAATTCCGTTGACTTCTAATTCATACCCGCAGGGCTCGGCTCCACGAGGACATAGGACACACTTAGGGACCATCTATTCTTCAAACCAAATTTTCGGATATGCCGAATCACCTCACCATTCCTTTTAAGAAGACATATTCATGTCCTATACCTGTTGCCACACGCGATTACATCCAAAATCACACGGAAGATCACCCAGATGCTTATATTGGCGATATCAACCAGTGGAAGGCATTGCGGGATATCGGCACTGGGGGCGTATTACATGCTGACCGTATCAACTTCGCGTTAAAGTGAGTTCAACACCCGAATATGCCGAGTAATCTAACCAGAACCAGCTATCATGCTCAACTTGTATTCATTCTAGCCAAATTACCGCCCGACGTCAGTTGCCAACCTCATGATTCTTCTTCCGCAGTACTGATAACCCCAGATCAATTTGGAATTCTCATACGGTCATGCGTTTGATAGCCCGTCTTCCTTCCCTGTGACCCTAAGGAGTATTGCGTTTGAGCGGGCTGCAGTCTTGTTCAATATAGCCGCGCTATATTCCCAATTAGCTGCTTCTGAGGACAGATCCAGTCAAGATGGCCTAAAACGTGCAAGTGCTTATTACCAGGCAAGTTAAGCGGTTGAGAAATGGAAGCTACCTTACGCTCCGCCTGAAGAACGCAGCAGGTGTTTTGGCCTTCCTGTCCGAGTCAGCGCTGCCGAAACTGGGTCCCTTTGTAGACTTAGAAAACACACCTTCCGATCTGACTGAAGATTTTGTCAAAAGTCTGGAATGGCTTATGCTAGCCCAGGCCCAGGAATGTGTCTGGCAGCTTGCCGTCGCCGGTAATAATTTCCCTCAAACATCCTACAGGTTCTGACTAGTGATTTAGATCACTACAAGAATAGTCTGATTGCAAAATTGGCAGCCAAAGTTTCATCTCTTTATAATACATCCTTACTATCGATCCGCCTGGCAGCGGCCGACGCCCGTAGTGCCTTACCGCCTGTAAGCATGATCTCACGGCTTCCATCCTGGGTGTTGACCTAGGTCAATAGAACTGGATCCCTCACCTGGAGACGAAGCATTATCATTTCAATGCAGCATCGCAATATAGGAAAGGTGTCGACGAACTTGAAGCCTCTAGGTTGGTGAGGGATGACGCGTTCCTTCATCGCTGAAATTGTTATAGGTACGGTGACGAAATTCGACGTCTGATGATTGCGGAAGCAGATGCTAAAAAAGCATTCAACATTGCGAAGCGTGCCGGGGTCGCTCAAGCAGTCATAAGCGATGTCAAGGTCCATCCTTATCTCGCGCCTTATCTAGTCGCCTGTTTGACATCTTGTTTCAGTCGCTGCTTGACGTTGTGCAGAAAGATCTTTCCCGTGCTGAAAGAGATAATGATCTGATATACCATCAGAATGTTCCGGCACCTTTGTGGTATCCCTGCAATTCAAGAAGTCTCTATGGTACAGAGCATCATCCCGCCTGGGCTACGGGACCCCAGAAGCGTAATCGGCGATGACAGCATAATCTTTGGTGAAATGCTTGGATGGGGTGCTCGGGAAGCTATCAGTGAGTGGAGTTTAAGCGACAATGTAATGCCTTGTGCCGATTTGTCAATCCAGATATCTACAATGATAACAAGAAAAATTTGCTTCAAGAGAAAATTGTCGAACCAGCCCAGAATCTGAACGATGAAGCCGATAAGTCAGACGAGCGTCCTTACCATATTTCTGACGAATTGATCACGCGCAGGATCCTCCAATCTCTGAACTTGCCATCATCGTTGGAAGCCTTGGAGCGTCCTGTTGGGCTACCTCCAAGTCTCTTGAGGAAAGCTGAAGAAATACGTCTAGATCAGGGGCCTACGAAGATCGATGTTTATCTCGACGACGTTCAACGACTCTCTCGACATGTACTCGGCATTCTCGACGAGGTATCTTCTTTTTTATCTACGTTTGGATTATCGTTTATGGACCCGGTTATAGGCTATGGATATCCTAGACAGCGAGGCATCTGAGGACGAAGCTGCACGCAGAGAGACGCCAATGAACCGTCCTCCATCTCATGAAGCAAACCAAGAACTTGTCATAAAACAACAACGGTATCGGACCATTCTTATTCAAGCAGCAGAAAGCGACGAACTCGTGCGCAGAAAATGGGAGGAATGGGAAGATCAAATTTCCGAGCTTACTCGCAACGAGGTACGGACAAGGCGCAGCTGTACACGATTACATACTAACTGCGGTGCATAGGATGAGCTCGAAGCCCTGGTGCCGTCATCGACAGTTTCAATGACAGGAAAGGCAGTGTCAACTAGTCAGACTCAAATACACGCTCGCACCCTGCGTGGCTTGCTAGAATCTTTGGATGATGTCCGTCGTACTCGAGATGACCTTATTGTCCGTGCTCAAAGACGAGCGGAAAGCGACGACATCCGGCCAAAGGTACTGGCGGCAGCGGCAAACTTGGAACATAAGATAGAAATGAGCGCCGTCATGTTTGAAGACGTTTCTGATAATGAATTTGCCAAGTACGACAAGTTTATTCAAGGTCTGACGGAGGGGCGGAAAAAACAAGAGGAGATTCTCTCGTCGATCAAGGTCACTTCGATCAATGATTGGTTCCAACATTTCCCTGACAATCTTCTAGTCCACGAATGATGCGTTCATTCAGTCTAGGAAACAAGACCCTGCTATCAAGGATCGAGAGCAGGCCCTTCAATTTCTTGATCTCGCGTATTCTCATTATAGAGAGATCATACGGAATCTAGACGAAGGGCTGAAGGTTAGTTACCAAGAGCTCAATCTCGGGGATCAAAGTTGATTGTCTGCTAGTTTTACAACGATATGGCTGGTATCTTGACTAATTTCAAGGAAGCATGCAAGATATGGAGCGGTGCGCGAAGTCGAGAAGCCAGGTACAGCTACCTTCGATCAATATCTTTTCTTGTCTCACAACACTGCATCCCATAGACTCCACCGCAATATGGCGTCTCTTTCAATCCGTGACCGTGACAATGCCTCCGATGAATCTCACGAAGCGCCAGTGTCCACGACGTCGCCGCTGAGGACAGGCACTCGAAAACAGACTACTGGTATACCGACGCTGTCCTCAGCTGATTGGGAGGTTCAAGAACTGGCTCCCCCGCCGATAAAACGAGCAGAAAAGACTACAAAACATCGATGATGAACATCGTGTGTCAGTAGTTGCACAATGACGTTTGTGGATGAATCTCAACAGGAGCTATGTGTGTGTAACTATTGCTTATGCATTGTGGAAAGACGAGCTGAACATACTCATAGCATTGCATGTGATATCCAGTGAACAATGATCCTTCTGATTACTCTCGTTACATTAAATCCGACGCATTTCTTAGTCCAGTCATGCTGGAGCTGGTACACTGAGTGCTGCCTAGCCTACAGACAGAGCTCGGTATATACTTTATAACAGCATCGTATTCCCCAGTGATGTAGAGTTGGGGTGGTGAACATGACAGTACGCCAATATAATGTACATCGGTTGTGCGCCCAGCGCGTCAATCGTGGTCATTTTAGGGAGACAGACACGTCTTGGATGAGTGGTTGTCATCAACGTTAAGGATGAATCGACGACCTGCCATATGGTCATGTCTCATGAAGATTGGATTTGATAGCTATAGCGCATTTGCAATTGGGCGGGCGGCCTTTGTAAGCACCCAGCTGATTCAGTGCTCAAATAGAGACATTTACTCCATTCACCGTGACTCGGTCCCCTAGCTATAGCGACGTCATCTACATAGCACACTGACCCGCAACCTACAAGTACAATGGAAGAAGATCACAAGACTGACAAAGGTCCACCCCCGCCATATCCACATCGTCCGCCTCCCTCAGGCACCCGAATCCCGCTGCAGTTAAACTCTGCTTTCCCCGACCTCGCGCATACCAACAAACCCCCATGCCACGACGCAGACGGTGTTTCTCCCGTCTTCATTGGATCCGCAATCTTCCAGCGCTCGGTCCATCCATGCAAGATTGCACCCCATCTTCCAATTCCATGCCGTGTTCCATATGGTTCCGCAGAGGTAGAGCACGACGGGCGGTACGACCTTCTGCCATTTGACCCGGTAACCATGGAATGGGTTCCTACGAGTCACGGTCGTGTCCCTCATAATCGGGATCCTGTTGCTGGAGGTTATGAAGAGAATGGGCAGCATTTGTATCATGCAATGGGTCGCGTGAATGGGACCTGGGTTCCTGGTAAGACAGGAGAACATCTTGTGCGCATTTTCATTCTACTTGAATCTATCCCACAATAACTGAGTTTCTGATAGGGGGGGTGCAATGTCGCATTTGGTGGTGGAGAGCACATTATCAGAAATGACTACGAGATATTGTGAGTCCAATGACTTGTCTCACCCGGCGATATCGATGCTAACAAAATGCAGGTGCTGGAGGAGTGCATATCTCAGGGGAGAGAAATAGATTGTTTGTATCGATACGGAGCGTGTAGTCATTCCAAGTTTACCTTGATAAATTTAGTTTTGCGCAAAATTTGTCAAAACTGAGTACAGGCAGGTAAGAAGACAGACGTATACTCTACAACCGTTAGATATCGCCAAATATAACAGCAATCATTTTCGAGTAGCAAGACACTACCCATGAAGCACGTACAAGTACAGATAAGCTCTGACTACGGAGCTCCCTCAACAACAGCAGGCTGCGGCTGGCTCTGTTGTGGCTGCTGCGGACTGTGAAGCATACCAGTACCCAAAGCCTGCGTCCGGAACGCCAAACCACGCGTCTTCTCAATGACTGATTGATATATCGGCAATGGTGAACGGTGGATCTCGATAACGTTCTATAAGAAATAATAGTCAGTGAATGAACGGACGAGTGCGACATCATTAATGACGCTGAAATAAGATCCATACCTTTTCTAGGTCGATTTTGGCCTCCGCGCCCATGCGGGTCTCGCGGATGAGGTTGACAATCCATTTCTCGCCTTCATCTCGTGAGAGATTAAGACGTTCCGAAAGGTCGCTGAGCACGTGGTTTGAGAGTAGATCAATGCGGATGCATCCCTCACTTACCCAATATCAATGCGTTGGTGTATACGGCAGTATGCCTCGCTGATTAGGTAGCGTGCATTATCGAGGAACTCCTCTCTGAACTCTCCAAGGAAGAAATCATCTCCGACCACGCGGTCGGCAAGCGTTAGCTCACGCTGTGCTGCTTCAAAGTCAAACTCGACATAAAGCTCTTTCAGGAAAGATGTAACGGGATCCTGATATTGGTACTCCTCCGTCTGTATGACCTTGACAATCTCGCGTATCGAGTGTCGTACACGCGAAGAAGCAGCACTCCCACCTGCAGCCGACTTGCGAGAGAGGATGGCAGCAGTGGCTATGTACCGAAGGATCCAGGGAGAAGAGGTTTGTATGGTGTTAAGGTAAGTGGGCGAGAGGAAAGTCTCGAGGAGAAGTGTCCGACCCTGCGGGTGATTGAAGTAGACAAAGAGAGACCAGTGAACCAGCCACGTCCGCGAGTGGAGTTGCGTGAGAGCTGCGGGTTCGGCAGATGCAGTTAAGAGTGTTGAAGGTGAGCGCGAGTCAACGACATCACGCAAGGTGTTCAATTCTTCGAGAGCTGTCTCCCATTTTCCGGTGAGGATGTCGGAAGCAAGTTTACCCCAGTGCGCAGAAGTGTTGAGATCGTTATCGGTTGAAAGTACACGGAAGTGATACAGATAGTCTGCAGCACCAGCTGTAGTTGCCGTATGTATATTGGAACTGCCCAAAGTTGTATAAGAGCAGTGATTTGTTCGAGGGTGAGCTATGTTGAACGTGAATAGGTTGCAAGACGGTTGATGGTAGGCGAGCACGTACGTTGTAGTTATCTTTTAGGTACTGCAAATTCTGATTTTTATCTTGACGCAGTGCCTGTGCAACATCTGGGTTCTCGATCACATCAAGAACGGCTTGAGCCTCCAGCTGTAGGCGCTCATTTGTTGATACAGCCTTCTCTCGTTTTCCCGAGAACTCTGAAAGATCGAGCTCACATGTATCATCATCGATATGACTTAAAACGCAATGACATACCTTCGGGGATCTCCTCATCAGGGTGCAGCTGCTCGAACAGGCTGACTGCATAATCCAGCATGTTCGTGCCCTTTGCAAGTTCATACTGTGCAGCCTGGACTTGCTCGACCGGGAAGAGTGAAGTTTCGACCAGATGGGCCAACAGCGGAAACGCCAGATGGCGATCCAAGTACGGTATTATCGTTTTTGACAGATCGTATTCCGCCATGGTGGTATACAACGTTGCGTGTCCTTCAAGCTTCAAGCTTGTACAGAAATTTTACGGCCACTCAAAGAGGAAATCGCACAGCCACAGCATGTGTTGACGGCTATCACAACCACTGGTTCGGACACTTTGCAATATCTCACTCAACTCTACTTCAAATCATATTCTGCTCGACCACATATTATTGTACACTTGTAATACACTATCGCGAAGTTGAATCTTCCAAATTGGCCAGGAAATAATTGAGATCCTTGTTGAGGTGTGACGGAGCCGTCTGGCTGTCACGCCGCGTCATCACTACTAGAAGTTTCATTGTGTGCAATTCCAGTAATCGCCCTTCTATAGACTATAGAAGTGCCAATTGGTTAAGCATCACATCAAAGCAAAAATTATAGCAAGTACGTGCACTGCATCAAATTGGAATGTCCCCCTGTAGCCTGAAGTCCCTACTGCTCGCACCAATAGAGAGCGAGATCTGGCCGTCGGGCTTGCGCCACCCCTGAGCAACGACGTCCCAGATAGACAGGTCATAGCGCGAGAGCGTTATTGAGACTTGTTTGATGTCGTACGGAGAGATTTCGACATTTGTGAAGCCCTTCAGGACTGATGGAGGCTCGCTAGCGGAAGATGGGTGGTGGATGTAGAGCTGAGGGATCTATGCGAGTGACGTGGGCATACATACATATAAAATATTAATGGGTGTCACGAACCTCAGTTCCAGATACAGGTCCAGTGTTGGTGACCTCGAAAGTTACCTGGAATGCAGGCTCATGGAGCCTGGTAAGTAACAGTATCAGCCTGTAGATCCTTCATCGGATTGGATAAACCTCACCAAAGCGCAGTGGACGACCCTTCGGCGATGGGCGAAGCCTTCCCATACTCCCAAGCAGTAATCAAATCCTCTTGGTCAGTATCCGATGACTGAATTGGTGTCACACAAAGGTCAGAGTACGCGAACAGTGGTGTAACTCAAGCCGAAGCCAAACTCGAAGCGCGGTATGATGTTTGCCTGCATTTTACCCTTGTTAGAGATATGAAAGGGCCAAGTAAAGTCAGGAAACTTACTTGATCAAAGTGGCGATAATCAATGAATAACCTGCAAAGACCCTGGAATCAATGCAGGCCAGCCTTGGTCGAGTGTACACGTACCCCTCGGTGTAATCAATGGTTACAATATTGCTTCCCGAACCTTTGGTGATGAGTTGTGCGGGGTAATCGACGACATCCTTGGCAATAGTATACGGAAGTCTTCCAGAGGGATTGTACGCACCATAAAGTACGTCAGCGATAGCATTGCCCGCCTCCTGGCCTTGAATACCAGCCCAGATAACAGCGGTGATATTAGGATGCTCGATCCAAGGCTCTATGATGAGCGGGCCAACACTGTTCACGACGACTATGGTATTGTTGTTCTGCGCAGCAACAGCGAGGATGAGGTCATCACCGTTGTGCCAGGCAGTTAGGTTCTTGCTAACAGGAGATGAACAATCATTGTCGCTTGAAAATGTATGAGGAACGTACCGATCTCCCTTATTGCCATTAACAGTAATGTAACCCTCGCCAGAGTCGGAGTTAGTGAACACGAGAGCAACAGCCTCGCCATACGCCATATTACCAGCCAGAGCGGTGTTCCAGTCGTCAAAATCCCAGAACACGCTGCTCCCGTCCTGGCGAGCACGCTCCTGGATACCTTCAAGAGGCGAAATAAGGTAAGGGAAGTCACCAGTCCTGTGTCGTCAATCAGTGTTGAGTAACGACATTTTTAAGTGAACATACCCAGACCCCCAGCCCATGGCCAGAATACCATCGCTGCCATCTTGACCTGGGAACTCGTTGGGGCCAAATTTGCCTGGACCGGCATCGCTTCCAATCAATACCAGGTTCCTCGGCTTGTTCAATGGCAGCGCGCCGTTTTCATTTTTCAAAAGGACTGTCCCAGCTGCGCCAATCTCCCTCACAAGCTTATAATGGTCAGCCTGCACATTCACATGCTTGTTGTTCACTTCGTCTTTAGAATTGAATGCGTTGAAGTTCGTTACAGGGTAGGCCTCGTCCTGGTGAAGGAAATACCAAGCAGCGATGATACGCGTCGTCATGTCGTCCAACCGAGCCATGCTGATGTACCCGTCATTCACATAGTCCGTGAGGTTGCCGCCAAAGTAGGAGTCACCAGAGTCAAAGGTGGTATCGCCGGGCATAGTCATATCAAGGCCAGCAACAGCAGAGAGTGTCGATCTCGTCGCCTGCCAGTCAGATTGAACGAAACCTTGGAAACCGTATTCCCGCTTCAAGATATCGTTGAGCATCTTGTCGTTATTGCATGCG